GTCTCCTCACCATTTTAGGACTGAACATTGACCCAGATAACAGCTCCCCTACATATGTCAACTTGTTAGGTTCAGTAAGTCTGACTAGATGCTTCTTTATACCCTCCACGGATTCCACATAATCATCTTTCACCCTGGAAATAAACGGAAGAAGGCATTTTATTATGTGGAGTATGGAAAGCTACTACATTGGTAACTTTTTGTATTATTATTATTATTATTATTATTTCTTAGGAAACCTGGGTAAGTACACACTGCTAGCTCAGTAGCAAATGAGATGAATACAAAGTTTGATGTTATGCTGCAGAACTGAAATAAAATTCAGATGTCAACAGAATTATCAGCAGAATTAATTGTTGGCACACTGGGCTATCCTTCTCTGTCCAGTAGTAGTGAAGTGACCCCCTGTCCAACAAATGTGAAGTGAAGTGAAGTGAAGTGAAGTGAGCCAAGTAGCGGAGAAGTGGAAGGTTTATATAGTGTACCCTGCTGGTAGGGTGTCCACAGGCAAAACTGTTCACTTTAATACAGGTAACACTGAACAAGTAACAATGAAATGAACTCAGTAAAAACTTCTTTCGAACCGCCCCTAATCTCCCTGGCAACGGGCCTGAATTCTAATATTTCAGTTACTTACATATCATTGGTTTTCCCACTCTGCACCCACATTTTCAGCAGATATTCATAGTAACTGTCCCCTCTGGCACCCAGTGTAATGGTGCCTGAAGACCTGAGATTCCCAGTCCTAGCATTTATGAAAATCGGCACCAGACCATCTTTCTTGGGTAGACCATGGACGTGTTTTGTGACTTCATCAGCAGCCAGCTGTAAATCAAGCATAATTTTACTATTAGTTTCAATATTATAACTTAAACTTCACGAAAGATGGAAATGGGAAACTTGCATAAGAATCAACCTTTTTTATGCAAAGTGAAAATATAAGAAATACAGGTCATAAAGAATGTATTTATATGGTGCTTATCTCTTTGGCAGGCAATTGGTAAGAAATCAGAAACCTTCAGAACAATGTTGAAGACATTTATTTAAATCTAATCGTAACATTGAAATTATACCCATATCAAATCAATTTTTTAACTAAACTCAGCAGGTTCCTGAGAACACCTTTCATCTAGCACTACAGCTTTCAATGCTACAGATGGATTACATTTTTAGCAGAGCAGTGGGAACAAGCTGAGATGTTATGGGTGGTTGGCTCAACTTTTGGAGTGAACAAAAACATATTTCAACCATCAATCAATGAATCAGTAAATCAATCAATCATATCAACCGCAGTCAACCATCTACACCATCAATTAAGCATCAGCATAACCAGATTTCCAGACCCTGCAGGCCTCTATGAGTCTAGTACTCTCAGTTGTATTCTCAAAGCATACTTACAGCATACTTAGGATCTCCAGTTATCTTGCTGAGATCTCTAAACTCCAGCTGTATGGTGGTCACCTCAGAGGTGCTGCTGTCGGGGCCCCACCTGGGGGGGTGCGCCTTGTGGGTTTTCAGGTTGACGTCAGAAAAGGGCACCTTGGACCCGCTGCCAAAGGCTGGCAGGAGTCTATCCCCTAAATCTCTCTGTTGTAAACAAGAGTTGATAAATTATTTTTACATGGTAATGAATATTTTCAAAGAGTGAATCCCTGAGATTTTCAGATTCTTTTTTCTTCTTTGTAATATCCTTTTATCTCTCAATTATAAACAAGAGTTAGACAGTAATGAATACTTCCAAAGAAGCAGTGGTATATTATTCGCTACATCACCTACGTAACAAAAAATATCTTTGCATTACTGACAAAAATGAAACCTGCTAGTTCAAGTATACTGAAGAACAGATTAAAATGAAAAAAGTTCTTGTAAACATTTAAATCAGAAAAAAAAACTCATGGTTTCACATTGCTATACCACATTCACAGAAATTATTGAGATAAGGAAATGCTGACTATACCACTCACAGCTTTATCTAAAAACATCTGGTCCTTTGTCAGATGATAAGCACTGAGAAATCCACCCAGAACTCGAATAGTGCACTCAAATAAGTTGACATCCCGGTTCACATCAAGGGACATTTCATTGGCAACCCAGTCTCTGGCCTCCTTGAATTCTGAAAAAAAGGGTAATATCAGTAATGGCAGCCCATCATATTAATATGGCTTGAAAAAAAATAGCTCAAAGTATCTAAAATCATCTTGTGAATCAATGTATTGAGAAATTACTCCACTCACCTTCTTTTAATCCCATAATATACATTGTGTCCAAAGAATCAATCAGAGTAAGTCCGACACCAAACCACTCTTCAAAATCTTTAGAAATGGGCCTCAGCTGGTCGTGACCCCAGGCATACTTCTTGTAAGCTTTCCAGGCATGTCTGAATGCATCAACCACTGCTTTCTGCTGATTGTTTTTAGGACCTTGAATAAACCACAATAAAGGTGTCGATTAATTTACCCTCAACTAAAGCCACATTCACAACCAATATTGACCCGTGGACTAACAGATCCCCGGATCGAATATGGCTGACCTACTTGATTCACAGGGAATCTATTCAGTGTCTATCAGAGAATTATGGGGCAAACTTTCAAGTGGGTGTTCTGTATACGCCCTAAGAAATAAAAATACTAAGAAATTAACAAAAGAAGAACATAAGATAACCATGACAAACAAATAATTGGAATTTTTTACAGTATTAACATCATTTTTAAATCTGGATTTGTGTATTATTACATCAAAGCTACTTAGAATCACTCTGAAAGTTTTAAGTCTCACCAGAGAAGGGATCTCCATCAGTTTGCACTGGGGCAGGAGAGACATATTTGGCTTCAACTTTGCCTTTAACATCATTAGTATCAGCTTCCTTTTTGTCCTTGAAACATTAAAAATAGATGCAAATCATGGTTTCTATTCTACTAATCAAGACCAATGAGATATTGTAAGGTATTACCTCCAAATATTTCAATAAATCATTGTATATTTTACATTAACTACATACTTACTAGTAACTAAATAAATGCAATATCCTCCCATTTAAAATAGGCATACCATTTCTGTGTCAAGTATAAAAATGGCAGTTCAAAATGAAATAATTATTTTAACAGGACACTTTTTTCTTGTAATCATAAATTTATTTAACCAATGCACATTTATATAGCCACAAGGCATTGCAGTGTTTCTAGTTTTGAATAATGTCTCAATATTATAATATTCAGTAACATTTCTCGAAAAATCTCCATCCCCAACAGTTTAACCCTGGGACATATTTTAAACACTTAATGCAAACATGACCATAAGCTATGGGTTTTAAAAACTGAAATGCACCATGTAATAATATGTTACCTTCACAGGTGTGAGCACTACATTTTGTTCTCCAGGTGGGGCATGCTGTTGGTTATCTTGTCCTTTATCTCCATCTCTAGGACCCCCTGGTGCCTGTAAGCTGCCATCATGCAGTCTTTTTCCCGGAGGACCCTTTTTTTTAATCTTCAAAGTTGTTTTCTGTCAGTGTGAAGAAATTAAAATGGAATTTGTAGAAAAAACTGTGGTAAACTGGTAGATACAGTTACGATGTTTGAATTATGAATAAACAACTGATATTGGAAGTGCCATACTGAGACACACAGGGATGGTATAATATAAATATTATCAAAATTTTTTTTGCAGGAAGGGCAATCCTATGTGGCATATTAGCCAACAGTATGTGACAAATTGCAGTTTGTTGTACTTGCTACTTTACAGATATAATATTGATAAAAGAAACTTACTTTTTCATCCTCAAGTTGCTTTTTAGCTCTTCTCTTCAATTCCTCAAGGTTAGGTCCTTTAATCTCCTTCTGCCGATTCAAATCACCTGCCTTAACATCATCTTTATGCCAGGGCTTCTTGGAAAGTTTGTCTAATTCATCTCTATCCTGTAGCATAGATGGCACCAAGTAGAGGCAGGACAAAGCTCCAAGTATAACTATCAGCCATACCACACTTCTCTGCAGTCTTGAGAGACGATTCCATTGCTACAATATTAAGAAGGAAAATATAACGAAAAGATTTCATCTTTTATGTCATGTCTCTTGAGGCCAATCTTCAATGTATGCACCCAGAGTATCTTATAAACCTTGGCAGGTGGTAGGGTAATCAGCTGCTGAATATTTGACGCAACATATCACTATTTGACCTATAAAATTTACTGTTTACTTGCTTTTGTTTGAACTGGTAATCAAGCTAATGAACAAGGAGCATTATTCTACAGCTTTAATTTGGGCAATGCATAACCCAAAATCTCACACAAAGATCAGTAGTTTTAACAGAAAACAAACTAGGTCTGACCCAGCTTGCTTGTGAGCCCGGTGGGTGAATAGATCTATTAACAATGAATGGTGAAAATTGATCAAAAAAATTTTGGCGTTAATTTAATCAATAATCTATAATCAAAGCAAAAGCAACATACAGAACATATCTTTTTTACTGCAGATGCATGGCTTTAATTCAGATATCTTCACAATCGGCCACGACTTCACAATCGGCCACGGTTGTGCGGAACTTTTGCGGGGAGTTAGTAGTACTACTACTAGAAGGGACAAAATTATGTGAAACACCTACCCTCCATAAAGAAGCACTCCTGACTTGCTTGCTGTTGTCATAATGCCCATATGGGTTACCAAGCGATATGGCAGTGTAGTCTTTACGATCAACTGAAGACCACATGATGAGAAATACCAAGCATCAAGCCATTTTCGCCCAGTCTATGTTCACTGCCCACATCACAGGCCTTCGAATGGATTGTCTTCAAGTACCCACTTTTCTTGTAGGTAAAGTACTTCCGGTTAAAACGTGTTGGAGAAAGTATCTATATGATTGGAAATCTATTAATTTTTTCTGACAATTCTGATTTTGAATAATTTTATACTCACAACATATTGCTACAAATATTAGAGAAATATATGTTAACGTTAAGAGGCTTTCGGTAACGACAACCATAAATTGAATCGCTCGTACCCTAGTGCCCTCTACCGTGAAAACGCAGCAACAGCAGGAAAGTGTCATCTGCTGGAACTACAAGTGGAAGTCGATCTGCGTCTCTTAGATATTCTTTTGTGAAATGTATTCTTTTTCATCAGCCGTCCGATAAAACTGAGCACAGGGTAAGAGCCAATTCTATGGGCTTCTCACTGTTTCTGGAACTTCATTTCCAAGGGAATAAGTTATGAAAGTTTCAGCACGAATCTTGTATCAAGTTGTAAATTTGTGATTTGGTGTGGTAGTGTTTACATTTATATGCTTGTACTTCAACTGTTCCACTGTCCGAGTACTATTTGCTATGTTTTGAGTTTAATTGTTAGCACTCAATTCGTTCTTATTCGCAGAATGGCTCTGGAGAAAAGGTGCACACTACCTGTAGATACAGGGGAAGGAACCCTCTTATGTGTTTGACACTGAAGACCAGCATGGCTGACAGAAAGGCTGAAGAGAAGAGCCAAGAGGAGGCTACTCTCCCACCTGGCTGGGTATTTAAAATATCCAACCGTCACAACAGAGTTTATTACTTTAACATTGCCACGGGGCAGTCTTGTTGGGAATTACCAAAGGAGGGGAAGGAAAAGAGAGTAGGCATCTTATGTTTTAATAAATTATATCCTTTTAGGCCCATTCTAAGACTGACTTACTTTCGTATAAATATTTGACTATACATATATATATGCCTAGATGATATCAAATTATTTCATTTTCTTTTAGTAACAAATTGTTATCAAATTAATATCATACCTAGAAGTAATCTGTTCTTGCGTGACCATTTGTATTAAAAATTTTGCATCACATAAAATGCTATGGTGAAAATTCATTGAGTGCTGAGTATCTGAGTATCTGGATTTAATATGGGTTAATCTTCTGTGCATTTTACTGAATAATTTAATCATGTCAAATAACACTGCATTGATCATATATAATTTCAAGCCTCTTTACAAAAATGTGGTTCTCATTGTTAGGCAGCTTGCAGCAGCCATAAATTTGAAACGATTCCTGGAGCTTCATCAAGCACAAGACCTCCAGAGACTCCCGTGGTGGACAAGTTAGCTCAGCAACATCAAAAGAAGAAAAAAAGGAAGAAAAAGAAGAAACCTAGAAGTAAAGCAGCACAGCAAACGTTACAGACAAGTTTTGATCCATGTGCCAACACTCATGCAGGACAAAGGAATTTGTTAAACACCCCACAAATAGTGACCAGGAACAGAGCCCACAATGAGAAAAGATTCGAATCTCAGGCTAAAAAATGTCCATCAGTCTCTAAGAAAGAGCAAGGTGAAAGCACTGAAACGGGAACCAAAAGGCATTCATCAAGTACTGCGACTAGTGCAAATGATTTGGATCTAATAAACAGTTTGGTAGTAAATAAAAGATTAAAAACTCCTCATGGGTGTGTATCCACTAAGAATGATGCCACTGCAAACACATCAGGGACACAGAGAAGGAAATATTCTCCAACACCCCTTAGAGGAGACGTCAGTTCTTCATCTGCAGGTAGGATTGTTTCAGAAACTCCTAAGAACAAAGGTACATGGAGTCTTGTAGCAGCTGAGGAACAAAAAGTATCTGACAGATCACGTAGAAAGAGTCTAATGCGTGCATTAAACATATCAAAACCCAATCTTAGTAATTCTAGTCTAGAGCCTGTTCCAAATTGCTCTGAGCAGATATCAGAATCTCCAGGATCTGACCATGTGTATAGAAATAAGATGCACAGTCAAAAGTCATTTACACCTAATACCAAGCCCTACACAAAACACAGAAACCAGGTTAGAAGTGAAACAAATAGGAATGAGGTCACACATCCAACGCTAAAGAGAGATATATCAGGGAAACCGTATACTGTTCAACCACAAAGTGCTGACACCAGTTCTTCTTTTCCAAAAGAAAGTACTTCCCTTGTGCCACAACCCCAGCAAACTGAACCTTCTGTGCCACTAGGGAACCCTAGTCCTATGTCTACCTCAGTTAAAACAAATCAAATGGAAATCTTTACACAAAGCAATGTCCACATGCAAGATAATCTTTTCACAAATCGGGTTCAAAAAGTTGACGCCCAATGTATGCAGATACCAAGCCATGCAGTGTCTCCAGGAAATTGTCCACTGAACCAGATGTCGCCTGATATCAATAGGTGCTCAACACCAGAGGGCAGACTTCCAAGAGGCTCCTCCCCCTTTGATTTAAAGAGTATTGTACTATACAGGCAGCTGCCAGACTCTGTGGATAAAGCGGTATATATAACATTATGTACTGTTGCATCTGTATATTTTACTTCAATTTTGCCTGTGCTCATTTTTGGCTATTGTTACTATACACATCTATTGCACATATATATATATTTTTTATTTAATTTGTAATTTCCAGATAAAATGTGAACTTCATAATATTTGTTAAATGGAATTTATATCTTGTTTTCATCATAGCATATCTTTCTTAAGTATATCTGTGCTTCTGACTTATTTGAGTCACTGGGTACTTTGATACTGATGACAGTATTAAGTTTTAATTTTCCATTAAACAGGAGTTATACATGGTGCTTGACACAAACATTTTGCTCAGCCATTTGGAGTTTGTAAAGGAAATCTTAGCACACCTCATTCCAGGTATTTACATTTATGATTACAAAGAACTTTTCACTTCCTAGTAAGAGTAGAAATATGTTAGAAAAGATTCTAATTAATGGAATTCCAGATATGTATGTCTTTATTTTTTAGCAGCCAAGGTATTTAGTAATGTAGTTGCCAGGTAATTCATGTATATGTGATTTTGATCACACATGTATGTGCATAACTGAATTAAAGGGAAAAGAAGGGATTGTTAGAGAGGTTTAGTGTAATTAAAATATATACTTACAATGATTATTGATCAGGGATAGGCAGACCAGTGCTTGTGATTCCTTGGGTGGTCATTCAGGAGCTGGATTATTTGAAGGACAATAAAAAGGTAAGTGTTCAAAGACTGCGTTCACAACAGGGGACTAAATAGTCTGCAGAACAAATATGACGACCCAGTTAAAAGCTTGTTATCTAAAAAAACGCAATCTACTAATAGTAGATGTCCCCTATACTTGTGAGCAGGTTGAGAATTAAGACTAGAATAGCCTGAGGTATTCATCCTCAATATTTGTAGGAAACCAACATCAAGAGGAAAGCATATGCAGCAGTCAAGTTTTTACACGAAAGTTTTAAGATGAAACGACCACATCTCATAGGTCAGACACCACAAGAGGTAAGTATTACATCATTTTTCATTAGGTTTATTAATTTTAGCAATACAATAAAATGAAAAAAAAAATAAGTTGAAAATGAAGAACAATAATTAGGAAAGATACATTAAGTTATCAAAGAAATATATGAAAGTGGCTCAAGTTGTTAATTTTGGCATTGGTGCTCACAAATCTGAGACCCGATTCCAGAAATGCCTAATTTGTTTATAAGGCCTGTTCTAAGAAGTCTGAATTTTTTCCTGAGCAACTAAAAGAATGTTCTGAGCTCTCGGCGAAACTGTACCCTCAGCTTATGATTGGCTGATAGTAATGAAGCCAAGTAGCACTGTCCAATCATGGTGCAATAATATCTCTTTATCCTTCCTGACACGTGTTAGTGATTAAAGATAAAGAGTTAATTAAAAGAAGAGACACCCTGTCTATAATTAAAGAACAAACATCTGGAGCTTCTCTTTATATGATCCCAACTCTATCCCTTGGAAGTCTCACATAAATCCTTTTATTGTGACCAATAAATTGTGTTTAGTCATTCAAAGCAACAAAACAGTCTATTAGCTCAAGTCTTTCTTGTTATGTAATGTATACTCAGTATTTATAGTGTTCAGTACATCTTTGTACATCTATTTTACATCAGTCTTCCCAGGACCTTCAAGGTTTCAAGATAGAGAATAATGATGACAGGTTGCTGCAGTGCTGTTTACAGTTCAGACAAAAATGTAAGTGAAGATGTACCATGCCAATGTAAGTTTATTCAGAGATATTATACAGTGAATGGAAGTGCAAATCTAAAGAGCTAAAATTGTAGCTGAAAATGCTAAGTCGATAAATCTACACATAGTAAAATATTTTTCTTACTTTATATGCTTTGGAGTCTTGAATGTTTTTATATAATTATGCAGTCTGCGAACATGAATGCTTCTGGGTATTGGAAAGTATAATCATATTTCGTTTTAATAAAGATGGCATTTAAAATGTCAATAATTAGGTGTGTATATTACATACTGAGATGTTCCCTAAGCCTGTGCTTTGGAAACCCTAGTCTTAATTCATAAGCTACATATAGCAGCCACCATTGTAAAACCTGTTTGAAATATCACACAACATGTTTTCTTTAAAAAACAATACAATGCTGTTACATGGTCAATTTAAACACCCTGTTTTTCAGATCCTAGTTCAAAGATAGTTGTTTTCTCCAATGACACTAACCTGTGTACCAAGTGTATGATCACGGGATTTCCTGCCTTTAACAGACAGGGTATTGTAGAAGGCATGCAGCAAGAGAACAGAGGAACACCTTTTGATACAGGAGCAGCTGGTAAGTATCATAAATTAGATATAATTGTAGTTTTTGTCATTCAGTGCTGGGGTGGATCCAGAGATATATTTTCTGACAGTCTTCCAAGTTATCTTTGTTGATCTATTCTCTATTTTTGAGTGTCTTCTGACAGAAAAAATTAGATAACCGTCAATGAAAATTTGAAAAATCTGACCGTCTTCCAGAAGACAGCCTCAATCTGCCCCTGGAACAGGCAGAAAATCCCAACCATTTTACACTTCTAATCAGAATTCATAATATCAGCATTTTAATGAAGCTAAGTAATGTGGAAAATATACATGTACTTATGAGCCTATATAACAATCACAGTGCACTTGTTCCATGTGACTCAGTTGAAGCAGAGCAGCTGGGGCCAGTAAATGTTGCCAGTCCTCATGAAGTGTATACTGTGCCTACTACAGCACCATCTAGTGACAAAACACAGAACTGTGTTGAAGCTGTAGTAGAACCCAAGAAGAAAACTAGACAGGAGCTTGAACTTGAGTTGGTAATGATATTATGCCATTGTTGTTTGAATAAATAAAAGACTGTTTATATACTTACAGGGGAACAGATCTTACTTATTTTAAGTCAGATATGAAATTTGCCAGTTTAAAATTCCTGTTGCATACTATCTCTCTTTTTTGAAAAACAATATGAAGATCCTAAATAATTTTTTTAAAATTTTAATGTATCTGTAGTATTTGTTATTAATTGTTTAATCTTACTTTTGAGACAGTATTCAAAGTCAGTCATATTAAGGCGGACATTTCAGGTTGTAATATGCTCAAGATGCTTTCCATTGTTTCTTGAAAATCAGTATTGTTGTGCATGTTGTTACAGCATGCTTTTTAAAACATTAATATAAATGTTTTTATAATTTTCTTTTTACAGAGTGAAGATGTCACACAAGAAGTAATGTTAACTCTGAAAGATTCCCTGAGCATGGTTCTGGAAAAAGAGATGAAGGAGGCATTTGGTGATATCTGGTAAAATAATAACTCTGAATTGAAGATTCATGAGATTTGTGAATTCCCAATTCATGATGTTAAAGTTAAAAATTTGATTTTTGGAAAATCTTAACTTTTAAACATGCATACCCATGTACTGTTTCTTACCTATGTCACCAGCTTCATGATGTCAAAACACAGTTGATAAGTGTTCAGTATCTTCATTGGCAGGACTGTATACGTATAGGAGTTGTTTTAACAAATTTAGGAGATTGTTTTGCATGTACATGCATAAGAGGGAGAAATAACACCAGTGTTTTTTATTCTAGGCAGGAAGTAGTTCTCAGGAAGCCACCTTGGACACTGAGAGACATTCTGGAGTGCATTGACAAGTTAGTACAATTAATTTATATTTGAAAATGGATAACTAGTTTGGGATCCCACCCACCCACACACCCACACACCCACACACCCACACGCGCACGCACACGCTGTAAACCCTCGTAATTGACTTAACACTAATAGTGGGCATCAGGGGTGTGTTTACTGAATTGGAACAATTTTTTTTCTTTTTAAATATTGTAAATATTATATATATATAAAGGATAATAGAAATATATTTAATTTTATGTTTTTTTCCTGTTTTTTAGGCACTGGATGGCTGTGTTTGGGATGTTTCTGAACAGGCAGCTTTCTCAGGTGGTGAAGCAACTTGTGCAATATTTCAAGAGTGCTCTAGGTATGTTATGCCCTTTGACTTATGAGATTTCACAACTTGACACTTGTTTAGAACTAAATTAATAATTTCTCTTTAAGAACCATGTTGCTTGTAGTTTGTCTAAGTATCAAATCTCAAATTGCTTACTAGTATAATTTATAATGAATTGCCTTATTTCCTACATGGGCGTGCTGGCCAAGAATGGATTGATTTGAGTATAAAAATATTGTATCTGTTGTTCTCCAGGTAGAAACCCCAGTCTGAATCAGGTGAAAACATTGATGTCAGACAGTCTGAAATTCTGCAAAGAATTGAGGAGTAAGTCAGAGTAAGTACAGATCACAAGCCATTCATTTTGAATATAAACATTGTCTATTACAAACAACCTCATGCAGATACAGGATATTTAAAAAGAGGGGGTCTTTCCCCGGATGTTTACCCATCTATATTAATTCTAATCAAATAAAAATATGCATTTTGAATGGTCATTACTAGACAGTATTATCATGATTGCTTTTGCATAACCTGGTATTGAAATTAAAAAAAAAAAAAATCACGTTCTATGCAGCCAAGATAAATGTGTTTTACATTTGTCAATAAGCAATACAACAATTGATCTCAGAATACCCTTTTTCCAGTTATGAAGGTAAATTAACAAAAACCATCCAAAGACTTGAGCAACTGTCAGCAGTATGCTCCAGTGTCATGAGTGGTGCTGTGGAACCCTGTGGACTCAGTCAGCTAGAAGACCAGATCAAAAGTCATGACACTTGCTTAGATGATTCCAATAATGGAAATTACCTGAAAGTACCAGAAAATGATAGACAAGATGTTGTTTTGTCACAAAGTGTTGAACTAATGGAGACATTGGAATCTACATCAGAGGACACAATCGATATGCCGTCTCAGTCTTCATCTGTGATACATGCGCATTCTGCACCATCTCCCACTTTGCAGTCCGTGTCTGTTTTGGATCCAGAAAGTGAGCAAGCCATTTATTTCAAGTTTCAGAGTATATGGGAAACTATTCATGAATACAGGTAATGCAGATGATGATGGTTAATTTTTCCAGTGGATACAAGCACATTTTGGTGTAACTGTAGTTTCATAACTATTAATTGCATCACCTTGTGCTCAGAATTGTACAGTGCCTAGCTACAGCTGTCCTCGTATATTACTCTTTTGGTACACATAGACTTAGTGTTTAAAAAGTTTGCACTATTTCTTATGATCTGAGATTTTTGATAACTCATCCAAGTTAACTTTGTAAACTTATTTCATTTTGAATTAATTTATAAAATATTGTCATCTTCCCATCCTATGAACCAAAATATACAATTGTGTGGTTTGTGTGTATGTGTAGATGTGGCATATTTCCTTCTCCAAAAGTCATTGAAATTCATTCATTCCCGTTACCTCATTGCAGCCAAACTATAGAGACAGTCCTGAGTGGCCATCCCATTCCTGTGCCGTCCCCGTCCACCCCCAGTAGAGAACAGGCTGTGGAGATGCTGAAAAGACTGTATACCATGTCCCTTGAGCTCAAGATGGAATTCATCAAGTATGCTTATCATTGTTGTTGCTTTTTTCCCACAGTCAATTGCACTGTTGGTGTGTGTGTATGATGGTGTATTGTGATCCTGTCTAACTGTTTGGCTCCCTGGTTATCCTTTTCTCACACTAGAACAAATAAGTGGTATAAATTTTGAACCTTAATTATTATAAAAATTAATTAATGAAAAAAATACTTTCAGATTCACCAACAGTGGTTTTACTGTGAATTTGAATCAGTTTTTACTCTGGTCCTGTTGATTTTATGAGGCCAGCTCTACAGTAGGCTCTTATGGTCATTCTCTTATAATTTGACAAAGAAATAAAGCATATTAACATTTTCTGTAAAAATTTCATTTCTGTATTTCAGTTTCCTGTCAGTTCCTGTTCCTGAAGCCAATCTACACCCGGAGGAATTTTTCTCATTTTGCCAAGTATTAAATCACTTCTTAGACTATTTGGATATAAAGGTAAAACAACTACCATGCTTTATTTGAGGTGTAAATTCTGCATGTTTTCATTGTATGTGAGAAAACTTATTCTTCTTTTATAATACTGCAATGAAAACATCCGTGAAAGCTCATAACGGCATGTTTGAAGACCCTGTGTGTTGGGACAAAGTTGTAAGATGTGTAGGTAAATGTATCAATATGTCATCCAGCCCATGGGCAGGTGCAGTTTTTATAGTACAGAGTTAATATATTTACTTATAGTATAACAAACATTGTATGGAAGGCTGCATTACTATAATCCAAGTTATTTTCCTGTAGAAGGAGGCCCAGGGTCCCGATGTCCACCCAGAGAAGTTACTGCTCTATTTTCTCAATGACAGCAGGAGAGAGGGGATGGTGAATGGGCTGGCACAGCTCAGTGAGATGATTCACAGAATGGGAAACTGTGGTCTAAACCTGCAGGTCCACTGACTCTGCATATCACTAGGAAGGTGGTTAGACCAAGCCAAATACAACAAAACTTGGCGTTTGTCTGATAAGATGACAAATTAACAAAATTTGGCTGTGATTAAAAAAAAAATGAATACCTAATGTTAGAGAAATTCTGATGTAGGATAAAAGAGAAGTGCAATGCATGGTTGTTTCAGGTCTGCCTAATAATAAGTTTATTCACTAGTGTTATTTTTATGTGTTTGTTATGAGACTGCTGTTAAATAGTTGCATTTTTCTAAAAATTACATTTTCCATTCAGTGTTGCCATCACTGCTAGACATGCACTGGTTTGAAGACAACTGTAGTTCGTTTCATTTGAAATTTACTGGGTTGTTTTAGTAAAAATACAGGTCAAGCTCAAAATATTGCTCGATTTCTTTCAGAATTATCGCAATTCTGTATAATGTTCAATATATTTTTGTACCTTTAAGTCAAATATTTACCTATAATAAATTTCCATGTTTGTTATTGGATTGGTTTTTATTTACTATCTCTTAAAGGGTATGTGGAATAGACATTTAAAGGAATTTTTATTTGACAGACATTTTTCAGATTCCTTTTCAATTTTTCTGCACTCCCACTTTGGAATAAGTTTTAAACATCCTGATAAAAATACTTATATATAAAAACGTTTATTTCTATAAAAATAAACATATTCCAACTATAAAAACAGAACTAGATCTATATCTACAACGAACCCCTTCCCCTTTCTTTAGAATTTATTTACGTTTCAGTACATCATGTTGCAAATTCTTTTTTACATGGGTGAAACAGGAAAGAACTGGAAATCCCCTTTCTCACTGCATTCAGACGAACTGAAAAAAGCCATCACAGGACCACTTCAACATGATATGAGAGAATTTTTTCCTCATTTAAATGCAATGATAGCAGCTACAGCATAAATGTCAGTTTTCAATCTTGGGCTTCTTTGAAACTTGTTCATCATCTTTATCATTTACACTTTTATCAACTGTGTTATTACTGCTAGCAGCGGATATCCCTTTTGCCAAGTTGACATTTGCACTGGACTTTCTCTTACTGCTAGAGACTGCACTGGAAGAATCTTGAAGCTTTCCCTTCCCCAGCCACGCTTGCATCATATTGGCACTGGCAGAAGTCTTCTTTTTGCTAAATTTTAAATAAAACTAGAGGATCAGAGAGGCGATACCGCCTCCGAATATTGTACCACCAGCCGGAGCACGATCGTATAGGCCCCCCCCCCCACAAAAAAGGGACACCACCACCAGTCTTGTGCTTGACAAGCTGTAAAAAATGCAATCAACAAGAATTCTCAAAATATGCAAAAAATATATATATATATATATAACTAAAATGGTACAATCAAAGTTCAGTTCATCGTAAGGTAGGTCAAAGGTCAATTTCAAGGTCACAGTAAATTTCCAGTATATATAACTTCCTATTCAAGTTCAACAGTAACTATGGACCTATCTCTGCCAGTTTTGGAGATAAAAGGGAACCAAAATTTGTAAAGTTCAATTCATGATAAAAAGTAGGTCAAAGGTCAATTTCAAGGTCACACTAAGATTGCCAGTATATGACTTCCTATTCAACTTCAATAGTAACTATGGACCTATCTCTGCCAGTTTTGGAGATATAAGGGACTAAATGTTATAATTTTGGAGTTACCATAATGTGCCTTAAATTTCGTACAGAAAAAATTAATTAAAATAAAGAAAATGTCATTTTGGTCAAAATTCTTGAAATAGGAGGTGCTCTGAAGTTTCAGAAGTTCAAATTTGATGAAATAATGTCATTTTTGAACACAAGTTGTCTGCTTTGCCAAGCCTTATGTTTTATTTTTCCAGAGTTCAAAATTTATTATCCATTACCGTACTGCACATTTTGCTTTCACCACCAATATGTACTTTTTGATACAGCGTAACTCGAAAACCGTATGGAATACAAAAAAACCGAGACCACCTCCAGTGTTGGGCTTTACATGCTCTACAAAATGCAAAAAAGAATGGGTCTCTAGCATTAACGGTTCCTGAATTAGAGACAGTTTTCAGTTTCGGTATCTTATGGCCGCTACTCCCGTGAAAATGCACCGATTGACCCCAAATTCACGGAGATGAAAGATGACCCGAAGGGTAACACTTTCCAATAATATTATTGGTTAAGTCTGTGTAGTGTCTGAATAACAGCGCAAATAATTTTTTTTTCGGCAAAAATTTTGTTTTTTTGAAAATTTTGGCCCGTTTGACCTTGAAATAAAGGTCAAAGGTCAAATCCAAGGGCATATTTGAAATCTACACATATGACTTTTGGAAAGCCGTCTGTAGAAATTTTTCCCATAATTCCTTCCGAAGGGTAAATAATTAGCATTTAATTTTGCCATTTTTGGACAAGGGTGCATTGCAATGAGTGCCACACCTAGACCCCAATTCCGACAAAGCCCAAATTTTATGTGGAACGAGTTGAGATTATAGGTGACCTAAATCCAAGAGGTGGGTACAGAGGCACTTACCGTCTAGGAGGAGAAGCGGTAACGGTGAGATGGCGGCGGAGCCAGAGGAGCCGGCGGAGCCGGCGGAACATGCGGGTCGGGACTAAAACCATGTGTACCGCCAGCGCCTACGCTGGTGGTACAATTAAATAATTATCAGAAAAATGATAACTGAATTTTTACATAATAAAACAATACAAAAATCTAAAATAAACTCCCATTTGATATGTGTAATGTTTTTCACACGGTAAAAAGTGTGAACCATGCACTCTGTTATCCATAAATCACACATTTCCCAAAACTTCTTTTATCAAGAAAAAAAACATTTAAACATATTTTGAGAGGCATGAGCTGCCTCCTGGGTATGAACTAAGTGGCTTTCTCTGAAGCAGGCTGCATTACCCAAAATAAAATTTTCAAGCTGGAAGCACATTTCCACAAATGCCAGATTCTACCTACTTGGGGTCAATAGCCTTCACACATTCTGGGGAGTTGTTCCTGGAATTATTGACCAATGTGGACACTGGGTGATACTGGAGACAGGATGCTGGATGAATGACACTTACTGCCTGAAACAATACAAATCATACCTTTGAGTAAATTTCTTGTACATCATATAAAATAACTTCTAAATTCTGATGACAAAAAAGGTCAATTAAGTATACTCTCATCTGTTTGTTCGTTTGTTCTAGTTTGTTTGTTTGTGACCCCCATTTCATCACTTCAAAAATTTTTGTTCAACATTTGTACAGCTGTGTAAATTAGTTAACTTTTTTTTTTCTTTTGAAATTGACATTTACTGTCTTTATCACAATTAAAAGAACATGCCCTAGATGTGTATACAATATGATGTGACACCTGACATACCTCTTTCAAAGGCACCTCCCCAAAGTCCAGCCACTGTTTTACATCTTCATCAGTCTCCAGTATGGCCTAAACAAAGAACATTTAGTGGTGTCAGATCAATGTGTTCAAAAAGTTGTATAAACATCACCTTTCTGTCATTCAAAGTGAGTTATTTATTTATTATTTTTTAAGTTTTTTTAATAATCTTACATAGGGTTGCCATCTATGAAGGTCCACTTGTATTTATTGATGAATTTTAAATCTCATATGAAAAGTTATCCCTTTCAGGATTCTGTTTTCTTAAGTGCTAAGAGCTACTGAGCATACTGTATTGATCACTTACCGGCATTCTGTGGTGGAGCCAGGACAGGGAAGAGGAAGCCTCAACAGTGATGACGCTGTATGTGTATAAAGGTTCTCCATCCTAGAAATAAAGTCAATGTCTCAGTACCAAATATAGGTCTTTCAGGCTGTAAAAACTGATGCACAACAAGGCAGCAAAGCTGTCAAATGTACAGACGACAAGAAAGAAAATAATCCAGTCAAGTTGGTTCGCCAATTTGGGCTGTAAGTCATTCATTCTTGTAATTTTTTTCCATTTTATTTGTATAATAGTGGATAAAATGTGCGGAAAAAAGCAAAAAACAGCATAACTTTTTGAAAACTTTAATCAGAGAAGCCACGTGACTCACCTTATTATCAGATCCCTTCCACGTATCAAAAACACCTGCCATGGTGAGCAACCTGCTTCTATCATACTCATCTAAAATATGTGAGTGAAGTACATAAAGAACCTGGTGACAAAAATTAGACTATGAAATACTTTTAATAAAATGATGCATGTTCATGTGAACTAAATCAGGGGGAGTGTAAAATTGTGTATTCTGACTATTAAAAAAAAAAAACTTATGTGAAAATCTCATTTATTATATTACCAGGCATTTAAGTTGTTGTTTTTGAAGACTTGTGGTCATATAGATATTTAGTAATACAATGGTAATATCTATGATTCTATTATTTTCAGTTCCTGGCTATTTTCTACTATTTTCACCTGTTTTCTTTTCTTCTTCCTTTTCACTTTTCACTGAAACACCGAGTTCTTTAGTATCTGATGTTGCATCTTTTGGGAAATATATAAAATAAGGTTGCTTTTTGCCATCTTCAGTTGTATTCCATTCATAATACCTAAAACAAACCAATATAAATATTTTATCTTATAACCTTAACCTTTAGGGAAAAATTTTCTCCCAAGAAGTAAATCTACACATTGAAATTTTTACCTGCAACAAAAATTCAAAGGCATAAATTAAAATGTAAATTTTCCTTTGTAAAAGCTTTTTCATTTTTTACTTTTCTTTTATTCATTTACTGGGCATTTAGGAGACTTTCAAAATCTGCTAATCACCAATAATGTTTTAATCACAAATGTCATTAAACTTGTTATCAATGACCAAACCATGACAAAAAAACATATTCAACTTAAATCAATTTATATTTGAGAAAAGATTGTCTTAAAAAAAAATTTTTTTTTTGAGATGTCAAACAACCCTGAGAAGATCCTTACCCATCTGCTAAGACCACACATCTCCCACCCCTCTGTAGGGGCACCTTGAAGGAAGCTTTCTGTAGCATACTGTCACTTCTGCAGTTGTTCATTTTATATTCTACTTTATTTGGATCTCCTTTGTGCCAGCGGGGTACCAATCCCCAACGCATTGGCAGGATAACTCGCTCACATTCAGATGGTTCTTCAAAATGTTTGGCAGAGACTAAGACAGGCCTGTAAGATTTAAATGTTATGTACAGTACACACGTAATATAGATTCATACATTTTACTCTAACTGCATACACATATTCAACACTGTTTTGATTAAGATTAAGTATAGAAACATTCCACAGTATTTACTTTTTTTAGTATAACGAAATCAAATTGGGAACTAAAAAGCAAGGCTGGCACACATACAGTTACATGTACACTGAACAAAATGAATTTCACCCACTGACTACAGTGCAAATTAGAAATCATAGATTTGTCTATCCAAACATTGCAAACAGTGGAATTCTCTTTGATGAACAAATATATATATATGATGCGTGTGTTTTAATCTTTATAAAAATAACTGTCAAATTTGGTATTTTAAATTGTGA